TGCCAAGCTCAGGGGCGGCAGCTCGAGGCTCTGGCTCCCAGGACAGATGCAGAGGGGCTGGGCTCTGAGAGGGGGCGCTCCATGGGGGGGCAGGGCTCCGAGGGGCAGGGGCTGTGGGGCTTAAGTGTCCCCCGTCCCTGCCTGCCCCCGAGCCCGCCGGAAGCGCCGTCACCAAGGACGCGTCTCTCCCCGAAGCCGAGTGGCAGGTGGCGGAGGCGAAAGCGCTGGTCCACACGCTGGACAGCTGGGCGGTGGTGGAGACGATGGTGGTGCCGACCAAGACGCCCGACAGCAAGCTCATCTTCGGCAAGGGCACCCTGGAGCACCTGACGGGTGGGTCCAGGGCGCTGTCCCTGCCCCTTGCCCCTCCTCCCTGGAGGAGCAGCACGCACAGGCTGTCGCTGGGCAGGACGGAGGCGGCCTCACCAGGACTTGGATCTGAGGTCCACGGAGCCCCCGGGGGCAGCTGAGTGGGGCGGCCCCTAGCCCTGCCCTCCCTCCCGGCTACCCACTCTAGACACCTGATGTGGCTCCTGCCCATAAACCCCTTTTTCCTGGGACCCCTGACAGTCCCCACCCCATGTTGTTGTGGGTAGCGAGCCAGCAGGAGGGTGCTCCCTGCCTGTGTCTCCCCAAGTCTTAGATGCATTCAGTCCCCGTGGGGCCATGTTACGGGGTCATGTCACCTCTGTGTTTTTGAGACCCACATGCCTGGACATGGATCCCGGGCTTCCTCTGGACCCCAGTGCACATCCCAGCTGCCTGAACACCCTTCTCAGAGAGTCCGGGGACAGAGCCAATCGAAGTGCAACACGTGTCCCTGAAACGGAGACCCTGATGAGACCCCCCTCTCCCTTAGAGAAAATTAGGGGATTGTCGGGAATCACGGCTATTTTCCTGAATGTGGAGAGGATGTCTGCGCCCACCAAGGTACTCGGGGTGCACTGTGCTGTCCACTGTCTTTGCCGGGGCCTGGGGTCAGCCTCCCCAGGAGGGACAGAGGACATGGGGTTTCAGACAGTGATAGGTCCCCCTTCCCGGAGGCCCAGGGGTGGGGCTGGGCTCCCCAGCAGGTCCCCTCACACACTCTCCTTCTCCAGAAAGAGCTGGAGGCCGCCTGGCGCGTGCAGGTGTTTGACCGATTCACGGTGGTCCTGCACATCTTCCGCTGCAACGCCCGGACCAAGGAGGCACGGCTGCAGGTGGCCCTGGCCGAGCTCCCCCTGCTCAGGTACTGGTACAATACCAGCTGTTGACAGACAACAGACCCCCCTGCTTGTTTTCTTGTGTTCGACTGTTGCTCGGGTGTAGTAAGGACAGAACCTGGCTGGACATGTCCTCTTGGATAGCATAGCTTGCTGGACACCTGCTGGGGCTCGTCCCTCCTTGAGAAACGTTGCCCACTGTGGGACCTTGTGTCCCTGACAGTGAAGGCACATGCAGGAGAGAACCCCTGTGAACTCATTCTGTCCGTCAGAGGCCCCACCCAAAGTTCTGTCCCCATCCTCACATTTGACTGTTGAGCCTGCTCCATGCTCCCCGATGGGCCTGTGCATCTTCTCTCATATGCTGAGTGGCCTTGTTTCCACGACAGGTCCAAAATGAAAAACAACCTGGACGGATATGGAGGTAGCTCTCGCTACATCATGGGGTCAGGTAACGTGTCCAGGGTTTTGTCACCAGGTGCTGGGAAGTGGGGAAGTCACGGCAGCCACCTCTGGGAAGGGGACAGCGTCCCCGAACAGTCCTAGTGAGGCCAGGCCTTCACGTGGGCCTTGTCTGCCATCACATGAAACAAGTTCGGGGTCCAGGTGCTCTTGGGGCAGTTGTAACAAATGACCACAAACCCAGGGTTAAAACAAGAGACATTCAAGCCCTCTCTGTCCTGAAGACCAGACGTCTGAGATTCAGGGGTCCCAGGGCCGCACTCCCTCCAGAGGCTCCAGGGAGTGTCCTTCCTTCCTCTTCCAGCTTCTGGGACTTGAGGCGTCCCTGGGCGGGTGGCCGCATCCCCCCATCTCTGTTTCTATCTCCACGTGACTTCTCTATGTCTGTGTCTCCTTTTCTGTCTCTTATAAGGACCCTGTCCTTGGATGTAGGGCCACCCTGACCCAGGACAACCTCCTCTGAGATCCTTCACTTAATCCATCTGCAAAGACCCTGTTTCCATATAAAGTCCTGATCCTAGGTTCAGGAGGCCAGGATATGGACGTGTATGTTTGGGGGTACCACTCAGCCCACTGAGGATATCGGGAGCTGTTCTTCCAAGCCTCCTACTTCCTGCCGAGGGAAGGGGAACCCAGGTGACCTCAGAAGGCAGAAGTTAGAGGCATGGCCTGGCTGGTGTTGCTCAGTGGTTGAGCTCATGTGTGGAGAGGTCATCAGTTTGATTCCAAGTCGGGGCACATGCCCAGGTTGTGGGCTTGATTCCCAGTAGAGGGCGTGCAGGAGGCAGCCGATTGATGGTTCTTTCTATTATTGATGTTTCGCTCTCTCTCTCTCTCTAAAAAAATTAATAAAAACATTTTTTAAAAAAGTTGGAGCCTAGGCTGCCTTTTGCTGGGCAGAGCTGTTCTCAGAACATGAGGTGCTGCGGTGGCAGCCGCCTAGGGTNTGGAACCTAGGCTGCCTTTTGCTGGGCAGAGCTGTTCTCAGAACATGAGGTGCTGCGGTGGCAGCCGCCTAGGGTGTTGGGCACACTGTGTCCTGCAGGGGCCTCTGTTACATAGCTGGTCTTGCATTTTCCTCCTGAACCGGCTCCCTGACTCACCACGTTGGCTGTTTTTAGGAGAATCCTTCATGCAGGTGCAGCAGCGTCTCATGAAAGAAAAGGAAATGAAGATTCGCAAGGCCCTGGAGAGACTCCGGAGGAAGCGGCAGCTCCTGGGGCGGCAGCGCAGGCGGCGGGAGTTTCCGGTGGTCTCTGTGGTGGGGTACACCAACTGTGGTGAGTGGGTAGCACCTGAGACGTGGAGGGCCGGCCCCTATGCTGGGCTGGTGTGGATTTTATTTTTGTTTTGTTTTTTAAATCTTCACCCGAGGATATTTTTTTCACTAATTTTTAGAGAGTAGAAAGGAAGGAGGGAAGGAGAGAGAAAAACATGGATGTGACAGAGACCTGTCGATGGGTTTCCTCCTGCATGTGCCCCAACCGGGCCGGGGATTGAACCTGCAACCCAGGTACTTGCCCTTCACCAGGAATTGAACCCTGGACCCTTTGGTGTACAGGCCAACTCCAAGCACTAAACCACGCCGGCCAGGGCTGGGCTGGTGTGTTTTAGGGGAACCCACTTGCCAAGACGATGGCTGTGGTGGTCACCAAGGACCAGGTGACAGTGCTCTTGGCTGCTCAGGCCCACGGCTCCTGTCATGTTAGCAGTGTGTTTGTTCAGCTCCAGACAGTGGGCCAGATGCCCTCATTAATGGATATTTTCAATCTCTGAGCAACAGTCCAGGCCGGTGTGGCTCAGTGGTTAAGTGGTTAGTGTCGGCCTGCAGACTGAAGGGTTCGGGTTCAATTCCCAGTCAAGGGCAGGTACCTGGGTTGCGGGTTTGATCCCAGGCCCGGTCAGGTCATGTGCGGGAGGCAACCAATCCATGTGTCTCTCTCACATCAATGTGTCACTCTCTCATCAATGTTTCCCTCTTTCTCTCTCTCATCAGTGTTTCCCTCTCTCTCTCTCATCAATGTTTCCCTCTCTTTCTCTCTCATCAATGACTCTCTTTCTCTTCCTTCCACTCTGAAAAGCAATGGGAAAATATCCTCGGGTGGGGATTAACAAAAATAGTCATAATAACATACGTGTAAATTCCTGCCTTCCAGGGAGTGCAAACACTACCTGGCTGTGTAGGCGAACAGCCGGGGCCCTTCCCCTGCAGCAGGCGTGGGAGATGTGTGGAGACTGTCACGCACGCGTGTCATTGTCCCCAATGTGCAGGGAAAACCACGCTGATCAAGGCTCTGACGGGGGACTTGGCTGTGCAACCCCGGGACCAGCTGTTCGCGACGTTGGACATCACGGCCCACGCGGGTTCCCTGCCATCCCGCATGACCGTCATCTACATGGACACCATCGGCTTCCTTTCCCAGCTGCCCCACAGCCTGATCGAGTCCTTCTCTGCCACCCTGGAGGACGTGGCCCACTCGGTGAGTGGGGGTGGGCGGGGCTGGCCATCTGAGCCACACTGGGGATACTCAGGAGAAGTCCCAGTGCCGTCCTGGGCACGACAAACTCCCCAGTGACGTCAGAGGTACTGCAGCGGCGGCTGGGGCCACGAGGCAACTCTTGCTTCCTTCACAAGTTCATGTTTCCTGAAAATCTAAGACTTTTATGAAATAGAACATTTTTAAAAATTTAAGTTCCCCCCCAAAAAGAGCCCAGAAGTGAATACCCCAGATATCTGTGGTATCTTTTTCTAGCGGCCGAATCACAGGTGGCTTTTGTATCTTTTCTGCATTTCCCAAATTTTGCATAATGAATCAACCAGTAAAATGTGGAAAAGTAGGAAGAAAGCAACCTTGAAAATGTGAAATTATGGAAGCTTTGAAGATTTCACTGAAGGTTGAAACAGTCCAAAGCTTTGAGTGAAGCCCTGTTGGGTGGCTGGTTGGCCAGCACCTGGGGGGTGGGGGTGGGGGTGGGG